GAAGCAACTGACAAAGGATTCATCTCCAAAACATACAAGCAACTCATGCAGCTCAATATCAAAAAAACAAACAACCCAATCCAAAACTGGGCAGAAGACCTAAATAGACATTTCTCCAAAGAAGATATACAGATTTCCAACAAACACATGAAAGAATGCTCAACATCATTAATCATTAGAGAAATGCAAATCAAAACTACAATAAGGTATCACCTCACACCAGTCAGAATGGCCATCATCAAAAAATCTACAAAGAATAAATGCTGGAGAGGGTGTGGTGAAAAGGGAGCCCTCTTGCTCTGTTGGTGGGAATGTAAATTGATAGAGTATGGAGGTTCCTTAAAAAACTAAAAATAAAACTACCATACAAACCAGCAATCCCACTACTGGGCATACACCCTGAGAAGACGGTAATTCAAAAAGAGACATGTACTGCAATGTTCATTGCAGCTCTATTTACAATAGCCAGGACATGGAAGCAACCTAAGTGTCCATCGACAGATGAATGGATAAAGAAGATGTGGCACATATATACAATGGAATATTACTCAGCCGTAAAAAGGAATGAAACCGAGTTATCTGTAGTGAGGTGGATGGACCTAGAGACTGTCATACAGAGTGAAGTAAGTCAGAAAGAGAAAAAAAAAATACCGTATGCTAACACATATATATGGAATCTAAAAAATAAAAGAAAATTGTCAGAAGAACCTAGGGGCCAGACGGGAATACAGATGTAGACCTACGAGAGAATGGACTTGAGGATAAGGGGAGGGGGAAGGGTAAGCTGGGACAAAGTGAGAGAGTGGCATGGACATATATACACTACCAAATGCAAAATAGATAGTTAGTGGGAAGCAGCCGCATAGCACAGAGAGATCAGCTCGGTGCTTTGTGACCACCTAGAGGGGTGGGATAGGGAGGGAGGGAGATGCAAGAGGGAAGAGATATGGGGACATATATATATGTATATGTATAACTGATTCACTTTGTTATAAAAACAGAAACTGACACACCATTGTAAAGCAATTATACTCTAATAAAGATGTTAAAAAAAAAAAAGTGAATGGCTAAAATTAAAATAACCCGAAGTATCAAAACAGCCTTTGAGTAGTGGGGATTTTTTTAACATTTTATCTTTTTAATATAAAATAAACTTGCCTGGAAAACAGATCGTTAAACACATCTGGTAGTAATTTAAATTGTGTGATATGTTTAGTGAGGACTTTTTCAATCAATTAAATTTATAGTATCTCTGCTTATCTCAGTCTAGGCCATGCAAGTTCCCTGCCAATTACATTTTCCTGTTTTGGCAGGCATCTGAGACCCATCTTACTCTAACTCCTCTGTACCTTATTATCCTGCTGTCCTATCCATAGTTCTTTTGGCAACTGATGGGTACGTTCCCATCCACACATTTTCCAGTGGCTTATGAAGTTGTCCAGCTTGAGAGTTCTATCCAACAGGGGTGTCCTATATTGGGTAGTGATGAAATTAAACTTTCGGGGGAATTGAATGTATCATACAGAGAGAGTCTGCAGAAAGTCATGTGGTATAGAAATGGGGATATACATAGAGGAAGTTAGCAGAAGCCATGAGGAAAGAGGAGAACAGAGGTTAGGCAATAAGATGTACAGGGCGTCCCTGGTGGCGCAGTGGTTGAGAGTCCGCCTGCCGATGCAGGGGACGCGGGTTCGTGTCCCGGTCTGCGAAGATCCCACGTGCCGCGGAGCAGCTGGGCCCGTGAGCCATGGCCGCTGAGCCTGCGCGTCTGGAGCCAACGGGAGAAGATGTACAAAGAGGAAGCAGATTGTTCTTAAGTCACTAGTATATCCTGGAGAGCAATAAATGGTCTTCTAATTCTCTTTGTGCTCTTCTAGAGTGGTTTTATCTCCTTTCTTAACTTTCTGTGTATCCTGTTATAAGCTCTATCACTTAAAACCCAAATGCCTGTTTATTCCTTGCAAACTGAATGATCCTAACGCCCTCATTTCCAGCATTAATTTAACAAACCATGTGTGTGAATTTAATTCCCATGTGGGACAAGTTAGCTTTGCCAAGTTCTGTGATCATCCCCTCATGCACACAATGACTAGGAAACACATCAGTTGTTATAAGAAAGAACAGTTCCACAGTGTGTAAGAACTAGTGCACACCTGTCTTCAGTGTTGATAAAATAAATCAAAGCTGAAGACTAGGGACTTCCCTGGTGGCGCAGTGGTTAAGAATGTGCCTGCCAATGCAGGAGACACAGGTTCGATCCCCGGTCTGGGGAGATCCCACATGCCACGGAGCAACTAAGCCTGTGCACCACAACTACTGAACCTGCGTTCTAGAGCCCGCGAGCCACAACTACTGAAGCCTGCACTCCTAGAACCCGTGCTCTGGAACAAGAGAAGCCACCGCGATGAGAAGCCCGCGCACTGCAACGAAGAGTAGCCGCTGCTCGCCGCAACTAGAAAAAGCCCACGCGCAGCAACGAAGACCCAACGCCACCAAAAAAAAAAAAAAAAAAAAAGCTGATGACTAAAGATGGTGAAACAGTAGTGACTTTTTAATATGAAAAACTACCCTTTCTCCCCTTTTACATATAAATTACTAGAGAAAAGTAAGTAATAAATATGTATATGATAGAACCATATAGTTTAATTCTTTTTACCATTTACCAGGTTAATCTCATATAATTTATTTTCCTAACCCTACCAGAATCATGTGGAGTTGGGAGGGGTAGGGTTGGATAGTTTCTCAAAAGGCTGCAAGTGCTGTTACCATAATACAGGGGAAAGATATGCTAGCAGACAAAAATAATAGATAACCCTCAAACGACTCAGTTAGAAAAAAAGCAAAATATGCTTGACAAAAATATTACATTCCAGTAAAATCTGTAAAGACCATATAGCAATCTGAAAAATGGTTGTAAAACAGTGTTAAGTAAAAAAGGCAAAGTATTAAAATAAAAGTATGATGTGGTTGAAGCTTTGGAATATGGAAAAATTAATAACCTTTTTGCATTGTGATGGTAGAATAATGGATTATTACATAAAATCATTAGTATATTTGTAAAAATATTTGACAGTAAACAAAATGCATTCATTAAAAAAGAAAGACACCTCATTCTGCATTTTGTAGAGAATTCCTTTTCTTTCTTTACATGAGAAAAGAAACTTGCTTTCCAAGTAACTGTGTATGGGCACTGGGAGCTGATTATGAGATTTGCAGATCTTTCCTCCTGGCTTTACTGCTCTTCCCCCAGGTTGAAGAGCTTGGTGACCATTTGCAGCTCTGTTGCTGTTGCTGCAGGAACACCACCACTGTGACATGACCACTGCCATATACCACCACTCCCCACTGCCATCAGTATCTGAGTACCAGGGCTTCCCTGGTGGCGCAGTGCTTGAGAGTCCGCCTGCCGATGCAGGAGACGCGGGTTCGTGCCCCGTTTCGGGAAGATCCCACATGCCGCGGAGCGGCTGGGCCCGTGAGCCATGGCCACTGAGCCTGCGGGGAGGTCCCACCTCAGCCAGAGCTAAAGTCCAGTGATCCATTCAAGATGCTGTTCGCCACAGTTATGAACCTGGGTGGATCCTCAGAATGTAGGGAAGGCCATTTCTCTCCTCACTGCTATGCACAGTCCAGGGCAGACTGGGATAGAAACATGTGTTGACAACAACAACAAAATACAACTGCTTGGATCCCAGTGTTTGAGCTCCATTGACCCACTGTGTTAACTCTCATCCACATGCAACCATTTACCCTGTGGCACATAACTACCTTTCATTCTTTCAGAGGAAGTAATAAACCATTTTACACCCTTGTGGACATAAAGAAGACAGGCCAGATGAAATAATTGTGATTATAATGAAATGTGTGGATGAGAAAAATGTGGAGTAGGGGTTGTTCGTGCCAAGCTTTCCACACTAAGCGTGTGTTATTTTGTAATTGTGTGGATGGGGAGGTTACATTATATTACTTATAAGGACTATTGAGGAACTAGCAGTTGAAAAGAGGCAGGTATGGTTGGTATAAAAATAGCCCCAATTACAGTAATACATGGAAACTAACTATCCTCTATGGCTGATCCTCTACCCAACAGCTCAATATTCTCAAATATGTTTAAGCTTGTTTCATTTTATCATGCCAGCAATTCTACATTTTCCATCTTTCTGACTTGGTATTTGCATAGATTTACATATCATCCCAGGTCATGTGGTCCCCTGTTAAGTATTTAGTTCATCTAAATACTGCTCTTTCAGAAGCTTAAATACCAGGTAGGGTAATCAACTATCCCAATTTGTCTGAGGCTAAGGGAATTTTTGAGATGTGTGGCTTTAATGCCAAAGCCAGGACAGTCCTGAGCAAACCAGGGTGAGTTATCACCCAATCCCAGGTCTGCTGTAAAGACTTTACCAACTTTATTCCAACACACAAAAGTTTGCCTTCAAGGAATTCTTTTTGCACTTAAGGTTAATATACACCCAGCGTTCTAAGCAGTTTATTTAACGTACATTCTCTCTTTATTAGGGGATAGTTTGCAAGTTTCTTGAGGGTAGGAGCCACATCTCTTTAATTTTTATATTTACTAATACTTAACAGAGTGCTAGTGTTTAATAAATCAATGTAAGAATTTTAAAATGTTACTTAACATTGCTTCAAGCATTACACAATTTTTCTTCTTTAGTTTCATTAAGTGATTAAGTTTGATGATTATGAATGTGGGTTTTATTTTAGGACATCTTGCTGTTCAGTTTCCCACCAAGTCAACTACTGATTATGTGAGCACGGGCAAGTTAATTAGCCTCTCTGAGCCACAACTTTTTAAATGTGTAAAATGGGGATAAAAATAGTACCCACCTCCCAGGGATATTGTAAGGCTTAAGCAAAATACTGTCTAAGTGTGTAATGTTTTGTCTAGCACATAGCACACAACTAGTTATTATGTGGTAGCTGTTAATAAGTGATCACACATCAGTTCACTGTATTCTTCCCTGCATTGTTTCTTTCAGAGAGTTTATGTCGTCCCAGGCAAAAGCAGGTATTAAACCTACTGAAGATTATTTGCAGCCTCAGTTTGGCCCCAACAGACTTTTACATTCAGCGGCAGCATCAGAAGGGTCAGGACTTCAAGATTGCTCCACACATCAAACAGCATCAGATCAGAGCCATGATGAAATATCAGACCCAGATCGCTACAAATCAAACAGTAAAAACAATTCTTGTTTTATATCGGCATCCAAGAGAAACAGACCTGTCAGTGCTCCAGTGGGTCAACTGAGGTAATCAAAGCTGTTCTCTGTTCTTTTTAACTGACTGTTGAAGCTTTTTCCTTTGAGCAGAATTTATAATGACTCAGTTGACTATTTCAAACATTAAAATGTAACACATCCCTAGAGTTTCGTTTCTGCTTTTGTTTTGTTTCCTTTTTTCTTTGAAAACACCTGAGTAGAATGTTGCTAATTACACTTGGGGAGAACAGGAGATACACTTGAACACGGATAATATGAAACTCTGAAAGGAATATTTGAAGCAGAATCAGGCTAAGACCATGAAATACCTTGGTTTACCAGATATTTGTGTAAAAGTAGAAATGCATGCTTCTGATATTTAATTTGAAATAAAATTGATTTTATTTGAAATAAAATCAAATTGAAGTGAACTTATAAAACCATTTTGTGTATGTTTTCACATCAAGATTGTTATCATAAACTGTTAAGTTTATGGATAGAAGAAAATGTTGATAAAAATAAAAATTAAACTAAGAAACTGATATTCACATTATTTTCATATGTTCAAATAGGTGGATATATCGTGGTTTTAATTTATCTCACATTTTTACTTTAAAATGTTTACTTTGCTGCTGTGGCATTAGGAGTTACCAGGGTTAGCTAGAGTAAAAAGTGTGACATGCTAGTCATTTACATGTACTTTTGCTGAGAAAAATAATACAGATTGAAACTGGTTTTGACTGAAAAAAAAATTAGAAATCTTCTCTTACTGCCCCCAAGCAATATGAAATGAAAGCAATAAAATTGACTTCAGAATGAAAAGTTTAGTATGATGTATTTGAATTTCAAATCTTTAAAAAAAAATCGAAGAACTTTGATAAACATGAAAACTTAAGGGGAAATCTTAGCCATTTACTATTTCATGATGATAAGACTGTATTACTATTTTTTTTGCTTTCTGTTAGAATATAGCATATATATATGTATAATTTTTAAAAATGAGTGTTGTGATGTTTTATAGTAAAATGATTTAAATGGTTTATTCTGACATATGTGTTTTACATGAACAGTTTTGGCAAACTTATCATGTATTAGATTTTTTTAAATATTTAAGTGTATATGGACAATCTTATCCTATAAAAAGGTGTTTGGGTTTTTTTTGAGGAATATTTAGGAACATTCGTTAGTGCTTATATCTGTAGAAAATACCCAGGATAATATTTACTTAAATATTTTTACTAATTAACGTGCACAAATTGTTGTGTGTTTTTTTCTTCAGAGTTGCAGAGTTCTCTTCTTTAAAATTTAAGTTGGACTGTGATTGGCATAGATTGTCTCAAAGATACAAACTTCAACCCAGAGTGATTAGAGTAACAGCTTACAAAAATGGATCTAGAACAGTTTTTGCCAAAGTTACTGTACCAACCATCACCTTGATAACTGGTGTCCAAAAGTTTTCAGTGATTTATTTCTTCCCTTATTCTCTTTATCTGTGAAAAGTGAGAAAGATGACATTTATTGTTTAAAATTTTCTGTATCTGTAAATTGCTTATATGTATATACATAGACCTCACAGGCATTTCATTCCTTTTTTTATCAATATATAAGTAGTATATTTAATTAAACAGATACAATGGCTTTATATCTCTATAGCATTGTTAAAATGATGGAATGTTCAAGGACTAGAATTTGAGAATCAAATATTCTCAGTGTTGTGATTAACCTATTTGTATATTTTCAACTGCTACAAAATAACCATATTGGTGGAGTTATTGAGTTACTTAACTTGGCAAGTGGCTCAGTGGCTTTCTATTTGATCATTGCATCTTTTGTTTAGCGGAAATGTGTTACTTTCTTTGTTGTCAATCCCTTTCTCTTACCTCTTGCTTTCTGTTAGTTGCTGGAGGAGTGCACGGAAAAGCTGAATCTGAACATGGCTGCACTACGAGTATTCTTGGCAGACGGCACTGAAGCCCTCGAACCCAAAGACATACCCTGTGAAGCCGATGTTTATGTTTCAACGGGAGAGCCCTTTTTAGATCCATTCAAAAAAATTAAAGGTAAAAAACAACAACAACAACAACACCCTACCCCCCCCACAGTAAATTGCTTAAGGGGTGCAATTAAAAAATGATTTTCATTCTGTCTTTTTTGCATGGTTTAACAAAACTAATGTTTACGCATTTACAGCTCAGTAAGAGGATAATGTGCTTAATGAAAGAAAAATCCACTGACAGCCACGTTTATTGCCCTTCATTAGCATTGGTGCTTAATTTAATATAGATCTGAATAGACATTAGGGAGCCTGCAGGAGGTTAAATGGTGAAAATATAATAAATTAAATCAGAGATTATTGAATTTACTGTTTAGTTTCTGTGACACTCAACAGACATAATTCATTAGACTTATTCTCTCAGAAAATAGTTCAAAGTTTCAAGTATCATTTATTCATTTACACTCTTGGTCTTTTTTCAGATGGCATTAACATAATTTTGAAAATGTGGCCAGTAATGAACATATAATTCTTATATACATGTGATTTTCCAAATGAAATATTTCATAAGATAAATGCTACAGCTTGACTTTTAACCTTGAAATGTATATATATATATATATTTTACATTTACAAAATATGAATATGTATATTTTAGACACACTTGTAGGTAAGGTCTTTTTTAAAAGTCCATTGTTTCTAACATTTCAGAAATGTGGAGATTTTCTAAAATTAAAAAAAAATTTTTTTTTCAGTGGGAAAGAATCTGTTTTAAGAGAGAAATAAAAGTACCACTGTCTAAGAATATTCTTCTAAGCATGTCATACCCAGGGTCTGTTATCAAGTGCTGTATATGGTAATCACATTTAAATGACATAAGAACTTTGCCATACAAATTCAGTGTATCTAACTGCTGTATTCCCCTCTGCTTTTTATACCTTATTAGAAGTGTTCTTTTTTTTCCTGCAACTGCTGTAAAGCCAGTGAACCAAAGGCAAGTCTAGGCAGTAATTGCATAAGTAGAAAAAAAGTAATTCTGAAGTTCATTACAGATGAAGTGATGAAAATTCTTCTTCTATTAATGTTATTATATAAAATGATACTAGGATTTCTATCTCTTTAAGAATACTTGATCATTAGGAAATAATTTCTTGAATTCATTAGAAAGTTCAAGGTGATTTGGTCCTTGTAAAGAAACTTGTTGCTACAATACACAGTGAAAATTACCTATGCAGTAGTGTACACCCATATATTTTTCAAATTTTGTTTTAACTTTAAAATATGGCTGCCTTTATTTTGTATTCATTGAATCATCTGCTTGTATAAAAGCATGAGTCTTTGTGGGTAAATGTTTCTGTGACTTTTTTATATTCAGATATATATGTAATAAATGCTTCCTTAAGATCCTCATTTATTTTTATTAATCAGAAGTACTCGCCATTCTTATGATTATGGTATTTTGCAAGATATATATAAAAATTATTTATAGCTAAGCTTCTTAGAAGATCTGGACATGTATGCCTAAAATAACAATGTTACACACATGACTAAGCTTGGTGGATGATTTTTAAATGTACAAACTAATTTCCCCCTACTTTTTGTTTTCTCTTTTATCCTTTTAAAGCCAAGTCTAGAACAAAAAACTTCTCTGCTTTGTCTGCGTATCTTTGGCTGTGTTTCACTGTGACATGCACTGCTGTTCTTTTAGCACCAAAATGTTGGCACACACTCCTGAAAATTTCACACCATCTCTTGCTGGATCAGCAAGCTTAACCCACCAAAATCTGGTGTTGTGCAATGGTTTTTGACTGATAATCAATCTTTATGCTGCTCGACAGTTGTTGCTGGGACACGGAGTAGAGCAGGTGGCAGATGTGCCTCGTCTTTTGAGAAAAGAAATTGTAGGTGAGCTTGGATACAGACTAGCATATCACATGTCCATTAAAAAGACTTAAGTATAATGGGGAAAAAAGCCACTTGTCTAAGTTAAGCTCATAGATAAGCCTATAAGCCTAAAAACTGGTACTTGGTTTCTTTCAGAACAAGAATATAAACACCAATAATTTATTATATATATATTAAATAAGAATTTATTTCATATATGTAATTTATCATATATATGTATATAATTTGAGAGGGGTGTGGGGAGATTTCATATATGTATACCACCTACACATTCACTTTTTCAAATCAGGTTAAAATTACCTTTCTTGCATGAGTTTCATAGATAATCGATACTTTGCCAACTTGTTGTCATGAGTCTACCATAAAAATAAAACATGCATGAGTAGCTTTGAAAGTGGTAGATAAATTTAGAGTAAGGAGGCATTCTCAGAAGTTGGAAAATTCTATTTTCTTAAGGTAAATAGGAGGAAAACACCTGGCAGAATTTGGTGTTACTGTTGTATCTTTCCAAATGAGCATGAATATTTTATGTACAACTCACCAACAAGCATTAGAGTCAGTAACTGGTCATTATTTTAATATACTGATTTTCATTCATTCAACAAACATTCATTGAGAGTCTACTCTGTGCCAGGTACGAGGCCAGATCAGAGACAGATAAAAAAAGGGACTCATAGTCTGATTTCTTTTTTTGTCATTATCCCTTCATCTCTGATTTTAAATTAAAAAAATGTTTTAAACCGAGTGCTTTGGGCCCTCCAAAGGAAAATTTACTTTATTTCTGGCACAGGAAAGCCAAATAAATGTATGTATATTTTGGCAATTATATTTCCATACTTCATTATTTTCTTATTCTTTAGAAAAATAGTGTAGATAGTGAAAATTGCCTTAGAACTATTTCCAGATTTACTAAGGTAGAAAGAGACCTGCAGAACATCTCTGAGTTTTGAAATATTTTACCACCCCTTTTGAGCATCACTGTTGACAACCAGTGGCACTGGATTTAATAGAAAGCTGGAGAGCTATTCATCACATACCTCCAAACACAGAGCTTTCATATAGAGGTCAAGCCAAGGTCAAGACTGACATGAAGCATTCCCTGTAGAAATGCAATATTAGAATAATTCTTACATTTGAAGTTGAACCTAAACAGAAAGATTAATTGTGTGTGGGAAAAACAGAAAGAATTTTTATGAAGACATTTGATGAAGATCAACTGTCTTATTAAGTCTTGTAATTCTGCCATTTGAAGATTCTGAAATTTATTAATGATTCCTTTAGAACTGTGAAGGTGTAGTTAATGAGTTGTTTGAAAAGGCATTTTTAAAGTTTTCAGACTCATGGGCATACAGTTTAGGTTTTATTCACAGTTTCCTGGATCTTCTGCTTAATAGTGGCACAGTAAAAATTCTTGCATCAGATTCATGGGGTTTATAAGAGTTCAGCTCCTTTATAACTGCTAGGAGCTGTAGGCAATGCAAACCTAGCATAAGAAATGGTTCATGCTCTGCAGTAGCTTAAATGTCTTAAAAAAAGATGAGGGAAAAAAAACTGTTTGGGCCTAATTCATTAGGTCCAAGTTTCACTGTGTATGGAGTTCTGATTGTTTATTTTTATTTATTTATTGTTTTTAGTCTTGTATTTTCATTTTTTCCTGTATATCCTATTCTACTATTTGGCTTTCAGTGTTATCATTTATAGTGATTCATTTCAGTCCTGAGTTTTGTTAACCAGAAGTGAAACTGAGTATTGCAAATAGGATTTTACATCTTTTATATACTGTATTGTGAAGATGTAGTCACAGAAAAAAAAAATCCATGAAAAGAGTTCTTGATACTACACCTAAGATCTAAATTTAAACCTAGAGATTTCTGCTAACTGCCATGTGATCTACAAAATGAAATAATTTGCTGTGACAGCTAGTGATTGACAAGAATATGTGTGAGCACATTTAAAATAGGCCATCTTTTCATGTAGAAGTAAATGTCAGTGAAATGATGGATTCTCATCATTTTAATTATTGATGATTTGGAAATATTTCAATTCCACGGCATACAAGACACATTCTAAATAGCAGCGTAACACTTTTTCTCATATCTGCATCGGTAATGAAATGTTCTGTCATATTTCGTTTTTCAAAAAATGCATTAGTTTAATGAACCTGGATTCATGCATTATATTCTGTTCCATTATATGTCTCCTGAATTTGTCGACTTTTAAATGGTTGTGTTAAAAGCACAAGTTTCAAGAAGTGATCCACTACCCACATCACACTTGCTATTCTTGCTGCTGGATCTCAAGACAATGCTACAGTGCTGTCTACACCGATGGCTGCATTAGTCCTGCTAAAGCTAATACTGGGCTTTGTGATGTTCACCCATAGCGTGACCACTACTTAACTTGGGCAGCTGCAGCAGGAGTTAGAGTGGGTGTTCCCAAATTCTCTATTATCATTTTGTTTGTATAGTATAGGTATTAGGTGAGATTGTCAGTCCACCTCCTCTCCCACTTAGCTGCATATACCAAAAGCAGGAAAATGATATTATGCAGAGAAAAAAAGAAAAAAAACCGACTTCTGAGAGAGCACATGATTCTTTTATCTATTTCTACAAGTGAGGGTAAAACTATAGGTGTATATTTTATATATTTCCCTATTTCAAAAGTTTTAAACCTATAAATGTGTACAATATCCTTACTATATAAACAGATGTGGGTCTGAAGACATTGCAAGAGATGGATGGTCCCCCCCACTGAAAAGAATCCTTAGCCAGTAGGAAAATTTAGAGCATGTATATGGCAACATCTCATACTGTCAAAATAACAAATCATTGAGAAACATCTAAATTCTTGACATATCCATGAATTGTTGAATTGTATATATTGTATCTATGCACACAGAGGCTACACTTGTTTAATGAAGATGCCTGCAAACCTATAACTGTCCTGATAATTTGAATACTTTCTGCATGCCATGCACTCAGCATGTGCTTAAAGTGTATTATACTTTCTCCTTACAACCCCTGAGTTAGTGCTACAAGTCCACAGTCTCTTATATGCAATTCTAAAATCCAAAATTGCAGATGACCAAACAATTTTTTTATAACTCATTTAATAGCAGGACCTTATTTGGTATAACCAATCGATTGTTTTGAAGAAAAATTA